TATCTTTTATATGTATCTAGTATTAATTTGATGTGTCAAGTATCAATTGCATATGTTATATCCAAAAACATGTATCTCGAATACATAATAAGCATATACATTTAATTATGTGTATCTAAATATGAAATGTAGCTGAAACACATGAATTTAGGAACAAATAACGACTGTAGAGTATCTGTCGTATCATTAATATCATCGTGTTGTTAAAAATCATGTATCCAAAATTTAATGGTGGATACATATACATGGTCAGACACCCCATTACTAAAAATACAACTCAGATCTTAATTAAGATTACTACTTATTGGATACACATGTTTCAAGGGCTATATCAAAGTAATATTGGTACTACCAAATCCATGTTACGGTAACCAAAGAAAGCCTTAGAAGAGCACCAACAAACAAAAACTCTCTACAATACTCCCTTTGATCCTTATGTGTTGTGGTATAACATAATCAAAACTAAGATCCATTTCTTCCGGAGACAAACAATCAAGAAACATAATCGAAACTAAGATCCATTTCTTTCGGAGACAAACAATCAAGACCCACTATGAATTGAAAGTTTTCTCTATAGCAATTACTGTGATTGAAACTCGTGATAAATGACAATACAAAATAATATTTGGGTTCCGGAGAATTTGTTGGCCATGGTGATGATATCTTGAGAAGAAGAGAGTAGATTAGCTATTGTTGGAATGAAATTGTACGATGAAATTCTTGAATCATGAAGGAGGAGACATAATTGAGTGATAAATATGGGAGGGGAAAATTAAGAGATAGTGGTTGATTTGGAGTGAAAGAGTTAATTAAGCAGATAATTAATCAATCCTAGTTTTAAGATATGTGGGTATCTAATAATCTAATTGTATCTTCAAATAATATATTAATATATGGTATAAAATATTAAAAGTGGTAATATATGTAATTGTTTGAAAGTAAAGATAATTATTAGTATATATAGTAGTGATGTATGTCTAATAAGGTAGTTTATCCTTGATAAAAGTCACAACTCTTCATAATAGTCGCAACTTTTCATCAAAGTCACAACTCTTCATAAAAATCGCAACTCTTCATTTTCCATTCACACCTTTTAAAACCCAACATATACTTTGTACAATTTTCTATATAATATGTATATAATTAGCGTATAATATATGTGTATTGGTTAGTGGACACTATACTATAGTTATTTTTGACTAAGCGGTCAAATTTGTATCTTCTTCTTCATTTGATATCACTAAGTAGATAGAATTAGTTTTAAAATGTGTAACTATTTTTTGAGATATATGAATATTAAAGAGGAGTGGGCTACAAAAGGAGGATTTAAAGATTTATACACTTTTATAGCTTTCTCAAGTATAAAAAGATGTTTACGAGACAGCAATTTACGTCAGAAAACAAACTTCTATATGCAATATTTTTCCTGGTCACCAATGAAATCAGAGGCGGAGCCAAAATAAAGAATTTGGGGGTTCTAAATTTCCTTTAGAATCGTCAATAAATTTTGTTAGGGGTTCACAATTAATATACATATATATTTAATTAATTTTCTAATACAAATACAGAGTCTATGAAAAAACTACTGGATTTGTCCGAACCCATGAACCCACCTAGCTCTGCATATGAATGAAACTGCCATACAACTTGATTTTGGAATTGATATCAGATAGCTTTTTATTAATCCTAGGACCTAGATTCTTTTATAATAAAGATTTTTTTTTATCAATACGAAAACTAATTCTAAGAAAATAGATAAATCAATATGCATGGACGTCCATGACTAACTAAACAAACAGTAGCACATTTGAATTAATTTTAAATTATATCCATCGTTAACATGAGAATTTTTTTACACTATCAAATTACTAAAAAAATATTTATTGCTAGTTAAGTTTCTTAAAATGTGAGATTTGTAACCTTAAAATAAATTTTATACTATTGATACATTCTTCATTAATAAGACGAATGTGTAATTTTAACTATTCTTAGGTAGTGTCCAATTATTTTAATGTAACATGTAAAAGATTAATTTCTCATATTTTGAACCCTTCATTCATTTTTAACATGAGAAAGTACTGTATTACACATAATTTAATTACTAGTTCGCCGTATAAAATGTGAAGAATAACAATAATAATTTTTTTTTTTAAAAAAAGAGTAAAAATAATAGATTTACGAGAGCTAGAGCATAACATTGGTATCGAAATAGAATCAATTAGTTAGGAATTGTTAAACAATAGGACGAAATTAAGATAAAAATCAAAGGGACTATATGTAAGTGCAACATAATCTTATTAATAATACGAAAAAAAACGTAATTTTATTTATAACAAAGAAAATACATACAAGCATTTTCTTGTTCTAGCTAGGTACATTGGCACAACAAGAGAATTATTATTACATGAAGATCTAATTAGAATTCTCTTGTGTACACAAACACAACACGTAAGGATTAATTACGAAAATGACAATTATCCAATATTAGATTAATTAATTTAGGTCTTAATTAGTTTGAATATTTAGCCTATTATTGTCAACTTCAGCTGCACTTGCATTAAGTTTCTCAGAATAAATCAGTGTACCAAGCTTCCAAATGTCAATAATTTGTTCTTGAGTTAATTGAGTAAGCTTTTTCCCATCTTCTAATATTATCACATGATTTTGTAGTACCTCTGAAAGTTTCTGCTCCTTTGTAACATTACTCTCTTTCTTGTTTTTGTACACCACATATAGCACCATTTGGACCACACCAAAAGTGAATCCTAAGATGTTTGGTGCCTATAATTCAGACAAAGACGAATTCAGAATTTTAATCACCAAGCGTATACAGATACTTTATGATTCACACTATCAGAAAATCGCTAATATCTTATAGAAACTTTTGATATATTATCATTGAAATTTGGCTAGTCAATATTATTTCTGATGAATTTTTCAGTTAAACTCATAGAACGTGCCCTAAATCAAAAATTGGGGAGAGGGAGTGAACCTTAAAAATAGAATACTTACATAAATGACAACGTTTTTCTTAGTAAAACCATAGATGAACCACAGAACAGCACTTAGTGTGAGGAAAAGCGATAGGAGAAATGGCATGTATTCCACATTCTTTGTTTTGATAACTTTTCTCTGCATAATATGAAATAATACAAAATTAAATTTGAATATACATAATTTTTAAAATAATTAAAAACGATTATTATAATTATTACATTCGTAGACATACCATTATGCCTAATGGTGCTACAAACGTACATACTGAAAACGCAATAGATATCCATCCAACAATTGTGGTACGAATTGCTCCTTTTAATAGAAATTGAGCGACGAGAAAAACTCCTCCATAGCCAACCACCACAAATAAAAGAAGTAGCTTTATAGTTTGGACCTGCACGTGCAACGTCAAAAATTATCTTTAAGGTGATCAGGTACTTTAAAAGTACAACTTTATTAATTAGTGTAGACAAAAAACTTACCTTGGCTTTCTTTGGTGCATAGAAAATGTAGAAAACAATGTAAATTGTTTCAATAAAGACACCAATGGCGTTTATTATGATAACGTAAACCAGGTCTCCTTTAAGATGTACATAGTATATCAAAATCATTGCACTGCATAGAGCAACCACATATGGAATTGATTGATAGCCTTCTGTTGATTTCTTCTTGTAAATATTATAAAATGTTGGCCTGAAAAATGTGTACATAAATATGTAATTAGTAGGTAGTACTAATTTATTTTAATCATCATTAATCGCACTAAAACAAATGAAGATTGAAGCAATGAGAGACTCACAATGGTGCAAGGAACACAATGAACGAGACGGCCATGCCTGAAAATTGAGAAAGAAAATAAGTGAGATATGAACTTATGAAGTTTTTCGAAAAGAGCGCGTACTACTTATTAAAAAAATGTTAACGTAAAACATTTAATATTGGATATATGCTAGTACGATGAAATGTCACATCCATGAAATATAATTATAGGAATAACTTACAAATATTAATAAGAATGTCAACCATGGTTTTTAATTTCTTTTTCTTGAACAAAGAATATATGCAAATCTCTAGCTCAATTTGTTTTTTTTTTTTATCACAAAGAGCTTCAAGAGTTGCAAGTTTTACTCGACAATGGAATTATGAGAGCTAATTGATTGGCATATTTATAGGCAAAATTAAAGTAGGTGGAACAACAAAAAGGTCTTTTGTTTTCCCATGTATTTGGACACATGTATTAAGGAAAAAGAAAGCCCTTGCAAACGGGAAATCAATTTAGATACACTAGAGAATTCTTATACTCCTTCTGTCCAATAATAGTTGTTCATTATTGACTTAAACATGGATTAAATATAAGTCATTCAAACATTGAAAAATAAATAATAATATTTAATAGCAAGGGTAAAATAGACACAACATGGTAAATTATTCATTGCTTTTATAAAATGAACAAGTACTGTTAAACATTTCAAAATGGTATAATGAACAAATAAAAATAAACTAAGGGAGTACATTATTTATCTGTATATTTTAATATATATAATTATATCAAATAATTATTTATGAAGAACTAGTTGAAGTAGTCGATTATCCAATTGTACTAAATATTGTTTGCAAATATATCATATGTGTATAGTTGCGTATAAATATATATTTTGTATAGTACAATTTATATATATCAACTAAAAAAAGTAACTAATAAATCGTCCGGTTACCCAAGTAAAGATTGATCGCAACGATTACTCATCTTACCTAAGTTTGCTTATATTTATTTTTTATGTGACGTGATTGTGTATAATTCCGTTACAATATCGATGTATATACATTAAAGTTCCTCAAACTCAAATTTGCTGTTGTTTGAGGAATGAAATGATAATATCCTAAAATTAATGGGTCCCAAGTTACACTTTCATTATGTCATCCTCCAATCGTATGGGCACTAAAGTTCTTTAATATTGGAGGGATCTCAAAAAAAAATTTAGCGGGCGTATGATCATAAAAATATAACTATTTTTTTTTGTTAGAATTGTATTTATTTACATTTCGTTATAAATATTTAGAATTTAAATATAATTATTTTACGAAAATATTTTTTTAAAAAAATATGTAAAATAAGTTCTTATATTTGAAATATTTATACCAAACATTGATTTTAGAATAAAGTGAAAAAAGTCCGAAAAAATCTCATGACCAGATGAGTGCTTATTTTCTGTTCAGCATGAGTTCCAAATCACCAAAATAACAATCCAGAAATGATATTGGAACCAATAATTGCCTGCCATTTGGCAAAAATAATAGAGTGGGGCCACTCTTTTTTGCTATATTGCTGTGATCAATTTTCTAAAATGGCCTAAATGAAAAATCATAAGGATGATATGCTTCGCATTGCGTTGCTTTATTTGGCTTATCTTGTCGATCTGGGTGGGTTATGTCATACATTCTCTACTACATCAATTTCAATGTTTCTTAAATTAGTTTGACTCTAAATTATACAAATTTAAAAAATATTAAGTATTACTCTCTCCGTCCAATAATAGTTGTCCACTATACTATTTTAGAATGTCCAATAATATTTATGCACTTTATGAAATCAAGACATTGTATATATTTAAAGATTGATATAGTAAAATTGACATTTTATTTATAGTTTCTTAAAATATATACAAAATTAATAGTGGACAAATATTATTAGACCGAGGGAGTAATGATTAGGCTTCAATTATTATAGTTGCCCAACTCACAATCAACAAGATATCCACCTAAGATTGTTTGGCTCGATAAAGCTATTAAGTATTAATGATCAGGAGAGTAATTGTTTGCGTACTTTGCTATTTTACTTGTAATTACTTGCTTTTCCCGTTTTACATTAATTGTTCACTTGATTTCTTTTTTTATATATTTAAAAAATATATATATAAATAAGAAAGTAGACTTCATTCCATATTTTTCTATAACTTTACAAACTTATTGTATTTTTTTTTTAAAAATTAATTATAAAATAGACAGTTAATATAAGACGGAGTATAATATCAGAATTAAAACTAAATTATACAGATGGCAGCTAAATAGAGAATTTTTTTTTCTATACATAAATTAATACAGATGGCAGCACAAAACAGTAGAAATGTTTCTTTTTAGTCTTCACTTTTTTCTCCCCTTTTTAATCATTGGATAAGATTAATTTCTTTAGCCTTTAGGGATTTGTGGATACTGTTGTTTCATAATGCTCATGAATTATGAATTATGCATGTTCCAATGATTGAACGTTCAAAGATGTTTCGTACCACATTTCTCTTTTTCCCCTTTATTGGACAAGTTGAATATAATGCATCACTATCATGGAATACGGGTGGGAAAATTAGCCAAGAAAACATATTTGTTTGGTATATTTATTAACTTAAATTATTTTGATGCATTCGATTCAATTCATTTAAAAGTTGGTTGATATAGATTAACATGTAGTCCAAATAATTAATTAATGAGAAACTTTGCCATAATATTTTTTTGTTTAATATGTTATATATCATAATAAAATAAGAATTACTTAATAATTGAAGTATATGGATTGAGCGATGACTCATTGTTTAAGTTATATTTAATTAGCTCGACTTATTTTGGTCAATCAATCTTTAAGTGGCTTGTCAATACCTATTAATTGAGAAAACAAATATAAATAGTCGTCCACTTATAAAACATTAGTCGAGAAATCTATATTTTTTATAGTAATATATATTATACATAAAATATGCATTTTTATTTATATAAAATAGTATATATTTTCTTATATATTTAATTTGGCTCTTATTAATTTATTAGTCATTTTGATCCATTCAGATTTGATTTGATTCGCTTATTTAACACCCATATCATGAAAGCAAATACGTTGCTCGATGATATAAATCGACGGTGAATATTTACAATAAAGGTATATATATTGGTGCCACTTTGAAAAGCTTTCGTGCTTTAATATTGGTACGTCGTATGCTAATTGAACAATATTTGTTTGGTTATGATTATTTCATGGAAAAGGTGAAGAAAAACATTATTATTGGAAAAAGGACCTTAGCGCGTTTCTAAAAAGTTAGTATATATTATACAGCTATATATTTGTGATTTGTTTGTTACATCATCCTAATAAATTTGCGTGGAAAACTTGAATTCTAAAACATATGAAAATAACTGATGATCATAAAGCCACACATGGAAGCATATTGTTTGCTTTAATAACTTTTAACTCATAATAATATGTACTCAGTGGACCATTGTTGAAATCGTGACGGCTCCAAATAAGCATGTAATATTAAGTTTAGAGTAGAAAACAGCTATAAGTTGAAATAAATTTGTATTTATCTATACTATTGATTGATTAATATATTGATCCAAGAATTAGGTGAAAATTCTGATAGTCAATCAATTGAGTAATTAAGATTCCCCTATTATTATTTGTTTCCTTTATTATGACTTTATATGTATGTCAAATATTCTTTTTAAAATTATTTTGAACGAAATTTCTCATGAATGAATTAATACTAGATATTCAGGCCTAAACCCTAATCCACTCCCCAACTTTTACATAAGCCGAATCAGGCATATCAATATGTTGAGTTAATAAATTGGTGACTTTATGTAAGTTTCAAATAGTTTTTAAAAATTATTTTATCTATATTTCTCATGAATCAATTAATATCATATTCGGTCTAATCATTTCCCAACTTTAACATAAACTGAATCAGGCAGGTTAAAATGTTGAGTTAATAACCCACCCAAACTTGGACGAATCATATTGACATAGTATATATGTTTTATTAAGAATATTCCATCACCGTGAAGGGGTTTGGAATATTTAAATGTTTTCAACTTTTTTATAATATTACATGATTCATGATATACCGATCATAAGTACTTATACATTAACCCAATTATTAACAAGTCATTGTCGCATCGCACTTAATCTTTGGACCATTCTACGTTCGTGAAATTGAAATGCAACATTTTCACTATTTGTACTAGTCGCACTTAAGGTATATATATAGTTGTACTAGTCACATTTGATGGTATGGCCTAACGATTAATGAAGTGGGGGATATTATAGGAAATCAGATTCAGATTTTAATAGATTAAGAATAATGTAAGGTGATTTCTTTTTTATGAGAGTGCACACATCAAATACACAGTGGGTTTACCCAGTGCACATAAAGTGCTCACTACAGAGTGCTCATCCGAAAGGCAAAAGCAATGACAAAGGTTGTAATAGCTGCGGGTTAAAGAAAGGATGCTTTATAAGGTAATCTACTACGGAAAACTCTGTCAACATAAGAATATATAAAATTATACAATGATAAAAATTATTTACGCAGACTAATTTAGAATCAAGGCATATAGAGTCGATTGACATCACATAAGAAATAAGAACATACATACATTACCTTAGAGTTTATTAAGTATCCGAAAGAAATATTAATACATTTTGAACTTGTAACAAATTTAGATCCATAGTAAATTATTGGTAGTTAATTAGATTGGAAAATAGAATCAACTCTTTGAGCTAATGGCCAGTCATCAGTTTAGTCATTAATGGAAATAATTATATATTTTAAATAACTACTCTTGGTAATGACTAATCACTTATATTTTAAAAAAATGGATTCAAGTATTTATATCTACGAAAAAAGTTATTGTAGCAAAAAATAATAGATTATGATGATAAAATATAAATTTATATCTACAAAAAAGTTATTGTAGCAGAAAATAAAAATAGCAACTAGCGCAAAATAGGGACAAAAGCGCAAATGAAGGACCCTTGTGGTTTACAGCCCATTTTTGACAGCTCTTAAATTAGCCCAATGTTGGATTTAAGTTCTCCATA